TTTAGGGTTTAGGGTTGATGATATAAGTCGTGCATTACCTTAAGGCCCTAAACCCTAAACCCTACACCCCCAAACCCTAAACTATGGGAGTTATGGCCTATATTCCTTATTATGGGTACTGCAGGATTTATATCATCAACCGTAGGGCTCAAAATGGTTCAAACGCCTTATATAGCACCCTAAACCTCAACCCTAAGGCTCAAAATGGGTCAGAAGCCTTGTGTAGAACCCTGAACCCTCAAGCCCCTCAACTTGGGCCCCAAAAGCCTTAACAGATGACTCCTCAGAGCCGTAGGGCCTGATTTCGGGTTTAGGGTTTACGATTCAGGGTTTAGGTTTATGTTGGGTTTAGGGTTTAGGGCAAGGGGTTTTGTTTAGGGTTTAGGGTGTAGGATTTTTTGTTTTTTTGGTATAGGGTTTGGGGTGTAGTCGTGGAGGATCGGAGTCTAGCTGATCATGAGCTCAACGGCAGCAACTTTGTGGCTTTGCTCTTAGCAGCAGGTTTAAGACTTCGGGTGTAGGGTTTAGGAATTACGGTTTAGGGTTTGGGGTTCAGGGCTTTGCCTTTAGGGCTTGTGGTTTATGGTTTGGGGTTTAGGGCGTAAGGTGTAGTGTAGGCCTATAGGGCTTATGGTTTTTGATTCGCATTTCACCCTCGGGTGCCTTTTTTGTTCTTTCGGCGAGCCTTTGGGGTGCTGAATAATTAGGGCTGAAGCTTGTGCAGAAGCAGCGAGATTTCCAAAGGAGCACCAACATTTTCCCTAGGGCTCCTTATTGTAATTCGACTATAATAGCGCGAAGCCCTACTCCAATTATTAAGGCCCCTGCATTACTAGCTAAACCCTAAACCCTAAACCCTAAACTCTAAACCCTAAGCCCTACTCCAATTAGTAAGGCCCTTGCATCACTAGCTAAATTTGGTACTCACCCTGCTGATTTTGTTGTTTCTTCAGGTCCGGACTTCCTGTGCATAGAAGGTCCTAGCATAGACACGTTCGGGGTTTAGGGCTTATGGGGTTTAGGGCTTATAGGGCTTTTGGCTTTGGGCTTATAGGGTTTATAGGGTTTAGGGCTTATAGGGTTTAGGGATAACTTGGTAGCATCCGTATTCCTGCCTGGGCTGCTGAATTCCCCGCGAGAGATCAGGGATAAAGCGCTAGGAGCCCCTCAGACAACCCCTAAACCCTAAACCCCAAAACCCCAAACCCCAAACCCTAAACCCAAAACCCCAAACCCTAAACCCCAAACCCTAAACCCCAAACCCTAAACCCTGCAGCTGCCTCCAACTCCACTCGCAAGGACCAAAGGATGTTCTCCGCATGTACTAATTTGTTCCCCATGCCATTCATAGCTTTCTGAGTTTATTCTTATTTTCCCCTATGTTATTCCTATGTTCCCCTATGTTATTGTTTTCAATTTGTCTATTCTATTCCTAGGTTTATCATATTTGTCCTATTTCCCCATATTTTCCCTTTTTCCGTATTTCCCCTATGTTATTGTTTGCAATTTGTCTATTCTATTCCTAGGTTTATCATATTTGTCCTATTTCCCCATATTTTCCCTTTTTCCGTATTCCCTACCATGTTTCGCTTCACTTGTGGTTCGGGAGGTTCTCTAGAATTCCTACTATTGAGTCGGACATAACCATAGTAGGGATCTGCAGTAAATTATCTGGTTTAACTTCTTCTCGAAAGTTCGATTGGCAAGCGTGCCGTTGTCTGCAAGTGCCCGCCAAACCCAAACCCTAAACACTTCACCCTTAAACCCTAAACCCTGCTACAGACCCAAGGCGCTAACGATGAGCCCGAATCGGGGGACTACCTACCCCCAAACCCCAAGGATTTAGGGTTCAGGTGCTTGGGTAACCCGACATCCAAAACCCAAGACCCTAAAGCCTAAAGTGTAATTCCGGACCCAAAGCCCTAACTCCCAAACCCCAAACCCTAGTTCCAAAACCCCAAACCCTAAACCCCAAAGCCTAAACTCAAGTTCCAAAACTCCAAAACCCCAAACCCAAATCTTTAAGCCCTTTACCTCAAAAAAGCTCAGAACTGCTCTGTTTACGCTAGCAAAAGCAAACTTCATATCAAAACTACGATTATCTACCCTAAACCCTGAAACCCTAAAACCCTAAACCCTATACTGGTTTATCCAGGCCCCTAAACCCTAAACCCTAAACCCTGAACCCCTAAAACCCTAAACCCTATACTGGTTTATCCAGGCCCCTAAACCCTAAACCCTAAACCCTGAAACCCTAAACCCTATATTGGTTTATCCAGGCGCAATCTGCTCCAGCGGCTTGGTGCCGAATCTCGTCACAGCCATGTCGACGCTGCAAGCCTCGGGAGACTGGCGTCAGGTCCGAAGAGAAAGGGGGCTCAGGGCTTAGGGGTGTAGGGGTTTAGGGTTTAGGGTTTAGGGGTGTAGGGGTTTAGGGGTTTAGGGTTCTAGGGTTTGGGTTTAGGGTTTTAGGGTTTAGGGTTTAGGGTTTAGGGTTTAGGGGGGGGTGTAGTAGGGGTTTAGGGGTGTAGGGTGTAGGGTGTAGGGTTTAGGGTAAAAGGGGTGTAGGGGTTTGGGGGTTTAGGGGTAGCCCCAGGTTATGTCCGATGCAATCCCTCAACTTGAAAAAGTCATTGAAGCGAAACTGCGTCGATTGGGGGCTGGCTTCATAACCGATGCTCACACGCTTGAGCGCTCCCCCAAGGTAATTGGTGGCATGACTGGGAGCATGACTGTGACTGGGTACAACGAGCCGATGATCGTTGATGCCATATGTGCACTAACCAATCTACCACCCGAAGTGGTCCTTGATGAAGTTACTCTCGTGTGCGCTGGTGATGACGGCACACAGGCAACAATTAGGGTTGGGATATACAAACTCGTTATAAGGAAGCCGAATAAGCTCTAAATATAAAGGAATTTGTGTATGCTTATGTCCGTTGTTGCGTCCCTAAGAAAGCAGCCCTTCACACATGGGGTTTTGGGCATTAAGGGCTTTAAGGGGTTTAGAGTTTTTAAGGTGTCAGGGCTGTAGGGTGTTAGGGTTTCGGGTTTAGGGCTTTAGGGGTTGATTCAGCCGACCCCATCCCTACATTTTCAAGAGATGACCTCAACCCGAAACCCCAGAGACACCCCAAACCCTAAACCCTAAACCCCGACCCTACAGTTTCAAGGGATGATATAGGGACTTCGGGAAGAGCCCCTATATCGTCCCAAAACTTAGTCTTTAGCTCCTCTAGGATGCTGGACAAGTAAGCTTCTGAAGTAATATTCTCTTAGGGGCTCCTTATTATATTCATACTACAAAGGAGCCCCCGAACCCTAGTCTAATTATTAAGGCCCCCTATATCACCCCATGGTTGGGAGGGTAAACCCTAAACCCTAAACCCTAAACCCTAAACCCTAAACCCTAAACCCCATCGTTGAGACGGTTTCGGGTTTACAAGGGATGAACCCTGAACCCTAAACTCTAAACCGTGCAGAACTCTGGAGTTTCCGATTTAGGGTTTAGGGTTTAGGGGTTTAGGGTTTAGGGTTTAGGGTTTAGTAGGGTTTAGGTTTAGGGTTTAGGGTTTAGGGTTTAGGGTTTAGGGTTTAGGGTTTAGGGGTCCTGTTTCCTAAGGGCTTTAGGAGGGACCCTCAATAGGGACCCTTGTAGGTTACTGGGGTTAATATGGAG